TCTTCAATTTTTTTCCTACAAGTCTTACTAAAATAATATATTTTATATTTGTATTCACTATTAAACAATTAAGGCAACTCTTGATTCCTATTTTTTATTTAGAAAAGTTGGTTATATAGGTGGCTTAAATATAATATTAAATAAGTATAATTAAATTGCTATAAAGATAATTTAAATATATTTAATAGATTACATATAAAAATGTTTGTTACAGAAAATAATTTTATGAACCAATCAAAATTTATAGATTCAGTGCATATATTAATGGACTATGTATAATGAAATACAGTATACATACCATAAACTTCCAAATTGATTCAACTAGTCATAAAATTCAAATAAAAGGACATTTTTCTGCTCTATTTTTCTTGTCAGAGCTGCATAGAAAGCCTCATGATATATATTTTTTTTAAGCAGGTGTGCAAACAGATGCAACTTGTTGATTTTATTTTATCCGTACTCTTAACATTTCACCACTGCCAGAAAGACAATGGACACATTTATAATATTTAAATAAAAATTCGAAAATTACATACATTTCGGCAGTAAATAAATCCTGTTTCCTTTTTGTCATTTAGGCAAAAATAATGATAATGAAACTCTGGAATGGCGAATGTCTTTTAAATAACTTACTAGTCAGTATTAATGTAGTAGCAGATGATCATTTAAAATGAAATGGAGTTGTGATGCTGTTTCATTGAAGGGCTCCATTCTCTAAAAGTCTTCAACAATTAAAATGATAGTGTTATAGTGAACACAGAAGTAATATTTTATATGTTTGTATACTGCGTCTATATGTAAAACATGTATTGGTCTCTCTTGCCTTCCCAACTCATGCATTGAATTCACATTAATGACAAAATACAATAATTGTCCTTAAGGTATTTCAAAAGGGAAAACTTTTTTCCTTGCTTCTAGATCTATTTCGCTATCTGAGTTGAGGAACATGCCCACAAATTTCCTAAAGAAAGCACCCACAAAAGCAAAACAAAGTCCAGCTAAGTTTGTGACTATTTTCCAGGTTCTCCCACACTGATTTCTGTACTGTTCTTGCTCCAATCTCACCCCATTCTGCAGCACATAATAAAAATTGTAGATTAACAGCAAGAACTCTGGTGCCAAACTGCTTGCTTTTATAACCTGAATTTATAACTTTGCAGCTATGTGACTTTGAGCAAGTTATTTGAAGGCTCTATGTCTCATTTCATCATCTGTAAAATAGGTTAATAATAATATTTGCTCATAGGATTGTTGTGAGTTGAGTTAATGTATATAAAGCACTTAGAACAGTGCTACATGGGTGTTGGCTTCACCTGAATTTTTTGGCTTTCCATTCTAATCAAATTCTCTTATCTGCTGAATTTGATGGGGGTATATTTGGTCTCTCTGGTGCGTGAACCTCAGATTTCCCATGAAAATTTCCCCCTTGGCCATGCTCCCTTCCATTTCAGGCAGGAACTATGCACATAATTCCCTGTGCCTGCAGTGGTTCTCCACCCCTTACCTCCAAATTCTCACTATCTTCACATAGTTAACTCCTTTAGATCTCACTTTAAACAACTGTTTTTGAGAGAAGGCTCCCCTAGTCCTCCAGGCTAGAATAAGTGCCTCATGACCCTGTTAATTTTTCTGTATAGCACTTATCAGAATTTATAGTTATGTAGTGATGTGAATATTTAATAAATATGTATCTTCTACTAAAATGTAAGCTTCATGAATGCAGGGTCAAAATTTTTTGTTCATCATTATACCCTATAATCTTTATAGTGTTTGGCCTAGAGGAGGTCTATGAGAAATATGGGTTAAATAAATGAATAAATTAATTTCAGAGATAAGTCTTGGGTTCAACATAAATGAAAATGATTTGTCCAAGATTACACTACTATAAACGACAGAACTATAAGTAGAATTCAGTTCTTCTGATTCAAAGTCTGCTATTATTCCCAGGCTTTAAATCCTAAACTATACAAAGAACCCTGCAATTTCTGTTGTGCGAGTTCTAGAATAAAAAGTAAAAGTACAAATCAGAAAGTATAGATCTAAGGTAGTCTGGGGAAATTGGGCCTCCCTATGTAACTGATATTTAGGATATGAAGCAGGAGTTAGAGTGGGCAAGGAGAGCTGGGACAGAGGGTTCCAGGGAGGAAGAACCATTTACACAAAAGTCCGATGATGAGAGAAGCTTGGTGAATAAGAATAAGATTGCTGTGATTGCAACAGCAGGAGTAGAAAGAAGGGGCCGAGGTATGATCAAAGGGGCAGGGCCAGACCTTCTGTACCAAAGAAAGATTTCTGTTTCTTAACTAACAGAATAGAAAGCCACTGAAGATTTTAAGTAGGGATAACACAATCAGCATTGCATTTTCATGATACTGACTGCTCTACTGGGGCAGAGGTGTTGGGAAAAAGCAGACTGAACAATTCATTGGATATGAGGGTCTACAAAAAAAGAAATGTTAAAGATGACACTCAGGTATCCAGTATAATCATGGAGGATTGTAGTATCATTTACTGAGAAAGGGCCATTAGTAGACAGATAAACAGTTTCATTTTATTAATTGTATAATAAGTTCTCAATAAATAGTGACAATTATTGTTTTTGTAGTTGCTGTTATTGATGATTCAAAATCATTTAATGTGACTGATGGTAATGGATTTCAGTGGATGTTGTCCTGAGGTGTTGCTCCCACTGTATACACGGCACTTCTGGACTTGGTGTTTGGAAAGGGCAGTCACCTAAGGGGCTAAGAGTGCAACTGAGCCTTGATATGAAAAAGTCTCTTCTGCCTCCAATCCAATTTCTAGGGAAGGCTTAGTATAACATGTGAGGACACATGAGAAAATAGCATTCCTTTTTTTTTTTTTTTTTTTTCAATTTCCTTCTCCTTTTCCAAGAAGCAAGACAGTTTAGATATGATAATATGACCAGTGCCAACCTGTTTATCATGGCTAACAGGGGTATGAAGCATTGATGTTGTATGGGGAGATCAAACTTATAAAATTAGCCTTAACTGGCCTGGGCTGAATGATGTATGAGCAGAGATAGCTCAAAAGATTTTCCTATAAATGGGGTAAGGAGATAGTAAGCAAAGAAAGCTTAGATCTTTGATATTACCGAAGGTGTTTCATACCTTATTTTCTGATCTAGATTTTATTCCTGTCATATTTGTGCTTCATTTGGAAATCTGCCATATTCATTTACACTGTCTAGATATATATATATATTTTTTAAAAAGTAATGTCTATTAGAATGATTAGTTGGCAGTATTGACTAGGTAAGGCCACCATCATTTTCATTCTGGGGAGCCAGCATTGCCTGTAAAAGCCAGCAAGAAGCAATGGGAAGGTTGCTGAGCCTTTGCACACTGTGGCTTATAACCACTGCCTTTGTTCCCTGAAGATGCTGAGAAAGCAAAGGCCATTTAGTCACATGGCGCTAATGAGAATTCCTGTTGTCATTATCCTGATTACCCTATTACAGAAGTCCTGAAATATATGAGGTAGGTGGCAAATGTGTTAAATATGCCAAAAGGCATGTCTATTTCAGAAGTTTTAAACCCTTGGTTGAGAAATTTTACAGTACTTAATCTACTTGCCAACTGGGCATTTTGCAACAAGGCATCTATAAAAGAACTAAAGAAAGAAGCATTAAGGGGAAGTCAAATATAAGAAAAGTCCAGTTGTTTTGGTCACATGAGGTCCTGCTTACAATTTAAAAGCTACAATGATTCTTGCTTAGTCACACACATATATAATTGGCATCACTTAAGCACAATCACCATTAAGGAACATCATAAAAACACATATAGAAAAGCATACAACAAGACATTTTAAAGAAGAGAAAGAAAAGAATATTTTAACAAACATTCTGAATAAGTTTAACATGTATTTTATTTATATTAAACTATTTATAGAGGTCCTTCAGGTATTTTAATGTATTTTTAAATTATACTTTTACTATCATATTTATTAAACTAGGAAAAGAATTTCACATTTATTTTCACGTTTTATTTAAAAAGGCACATAAACATAGTTTAAAAATTAACTTTTCTTCTTTACTGCTTGGGTTAATTTGTAATATTGCCTAATCTGGTATAATCTATCAAGAGCTCAAATAATCCCAATTCAATACAATAAAACGAGCCAATGCTGAATCATTTGAGTATGTGTACCTATTCCTAATTATATTTACAAACTCTTGTTTATATTAACTTTAGGGTTTTAGCTTTTTGACACTTGTTGAAAAGACATTTTGCTTACTATCTAAAAATTCTGAAGAGATTTTTTTCTTCACATCTTTAGTGATTAGAAGCATGAATTTGAAAATCAGAATGAGTATTCAAAACAGATCTCCACCACTTACCACCTATATAACCATTTAATCTCTCTCTGTCTTAGCTTTCAACTTGAATCTTAGATGCTCATTTGTAAAACAAGAAGAAATAGTACCCATCTCTAATAGTTAAGTGTTAAATGCTTTGTTACATTTAAAGGGCTTAGAACTGTGTCTGGCACATAGTAAGTGCCCCCAAAATGTTAGCTATCATTATCATCATTATCATTGCCTTCTAAAATGGAATTATTCATTTTAATTTTTGGACACTGGGAGATATATATTTAACACTACAAAATATATATTTAACTTTTCCTCTGTATTCCTAGCCTTTAGTTTTATCAGGAGCACCAATCTTTCTTATTTTCCATTCAAAAAAGTTTTTTTAGTCCAGTGATTTTCAAACTTTTCTTTTAGAAACCTTTATAACATATTGAAATATTTCATGAACTTCCATATAATATAATCTATAATTTTAGAATTCATTGATTAAGAAAATACATATGAACAGAGAGATTTAAGGATTCCTTGAAATAAATCCATAGCCCCTTCAGGGTCTAAGGCTTATTGGTTAGGAACCATTGTTTATATCAATAAGTAATATATTTAGACTAAAATGTAATTCAGGTTAAAAAAAAAACAAACATGTCGGTTGTCGCTCTCTTACCTCGCCCATGACTGCTATGGGTGTCTCTCCTGTTGCCTGAGCAACACGATGCTCTACTAAGTAGAACATATACTCATCGTAGAGTAGACGGATCAGGTGGAAGGAGCCAAAGCTAGCAGCACTACGCAAGGTTAGGTCCCGAATAACCATCGAGCTGTTCCAAGAGAAAAGAAACACATACAGTCAGTATTAGTGACCAGGATGACAGTTCAATTTACTTTTCTTCTTAAAAAAAGTTAAGTTGGAGGTCTGAAAGGATGATATGACACACAACCTGCCACAGAATAATTTCATTATTGAAAGCAGTTGGCTCGACTCTTTGAAACAGGGTGGTAAAGAGGTCATCCTGAGACTTGGTTAATTTTTATTAGAGCCATTTTACTGTCATAGGTAAGTCTGCTGACTATTAAGCTCCCAAATGGGTCAGAAATGAATATAAAATATTTTTGAAAGGTTGACAACTCATCATCACCATAAGAAAAAGCAACTCAAAGCGAAAACCTTATTGAGGGTTCAGCACTGTGTTACTGCCTCTCAGTAATAGTGATTTTAGTGTACACTTTGGGAAAATATATATTTGCACCACACTGAAGTTTCAAAATATGCTAGGCAACATTCTTTCTGAGGAGGTGAAATGTAAGCAGGAACTGGACTGATGTGAGAGAGTGAGCATGGGAACATGTGAACTTTCTCAGCAAAAAGGAGAGCAAATGCAAAGATTTTGAGGCAGAACTACGTTTGATGTGTTCAAAGAACAGCCAGGAGGCTAGTGTGGTTGGAGGACAGAGAGCAAAGAGAAGAATACGCAGTGGGGTCTGGATGTCACCAGCAGCACTAATACCAACTTCTGTTGGAAAATGAAAGACAAAAATCTCCTGACTTTCAGTTATAATATCTAGTTACCGTTTAAAAATACCGATTAGCATGCCATGAAGTTACTGTCATGTTTGAAAAAGAATCAGTTGAATTATATTACTAATGCTATGTTTATTTTATTCTCTCTGTGTTGGGCCTCTGCCCTACGAGGCAAGTATGAAATGACACAATTAACAGTTTAATTGGAAACCTATTGTCCGATTTGGACTTCTTTCTGTAAGGTATTTGCAAAAATGGACTCCATCGAATTTCATGCTGCTAAATTACTACGAATTCAACTCCTTTTAAAATCAGTTATAAATGTTAAATGTTAATTATTTTATAATGGATGAGAAATACCCTTGCATACTTATCTTATAATTCATAGTGTGGAAACTGAAACATTTACCCTAACACATATACTCAATCTACCCTAACACATATACTCAATCTTTGTGTATTTGGGGGTATATCACACCTTTCCTAAGAAGAAAGGTAAGAACATCATACCAATGACCCCTATATGAATTCTTTTGTTTCAAATAATGCTTACAGTTGATTCCCAGAAACTATTACTTTTTGGAATATTTATATATTCTCCAGTTGTAGGCAAACTAGGTTCCTTGTGCCCCTTTTCAAATCATTATCAAAGCTATAAATTTTATTCCTTAAAAATGGAATATTTGGTTGACCCTCAGAGTGGCCCTGAGGAACGCTGTGTTCTGTTATCCACAAAACATGCAAGCTGAGAAATGGCCCACATAACTTCTCCATTTCTGTTCAAGAAAGACAGATTATTTTTTTTTTCCTACCTCCCAGGGAGCTAACAGTAGCCATTCAAAGCCAGGTTAGGCAAAGAGAGGACCCCATTCAGAAAATAAGGTGTTTGCAGAGATATATCAATTGCCAGTTGATATCATAATCCTTTGTCAGTCCATTTGTATATTTGTATGCATGTAAGTATATACACAGAATTTTAGAAATTATGAGATTAACCGACTTCAGAACATCAAAAGTCTGTATACGTGACTGCCAAATTCTTATTATAATGCCAAAAACATTAAAAAAAATACTCTGCAGTTCTGTTTCTTTGATGGTTTGTGAATGCGTTTGCATTACTCAATGTGTTCTTATGCCTTAGTTAAAAAAAAAAAAAATAAAAAAAACAGTTCCTATTTTAAAGGATCTTAAGTTTCTAAGCTATTGACTTTGCCTACCAGCAGGAGGTATGCATCTGTCTGAATATGCCTTTCTTTCTGTTGCCCTGAACTGTATGCCTTCAAGTCTTTTTGAAATGAAAATAATAACCATAATAGTGTCTAATAATAACAACCCAATTATCCCCAACTCAGGGAGGACAGAGGGCAGACAAGTGATGATCTGCTGGGTTTGTATATCTGCAAGAACAAGAAATAGAAGTAAGTAATTTTCTCTCTTTTCAAGTTACCTGCAACAGATCTCTGTGGAGATGAAGGCTCCAAAGGTGCATTTCTAAAATGGTATCAACTGAATATAGGAAAAAAATATAGGAAGGAGTAAGGGTAGGTCTGACATAACAACATAAGAAAGCGGTAAGAATAAAAAAAAAAACCTTGCTTTTTCTGATATAGAGGATGTACTCTGCTTTTGGTAATACAGGTTTTGGAACAACCAGCTGGTATAACTTCTGTTTTATTAATCACTCATGAAGCATATATACCATCTATATAATTTTCTGGGGAAAAATATGGATGAATAAAAAATCAACTTGGAAACAAATGGGGAAATACCTGAAATCTTCTTAAGAAATATTCCCAAATTAAAATTTTGAAGTCTATTATTTTTACTACTGTTGCTGCATCTACTTTGAGCACTGTGGCAATTTTCTAAATCTTCCCCATGTATCTAGGAAAAACACATTTCTCATGAATACCCAGATCTAAACCTAGCACTGGCTTTACTGAAGCATACCCATGGGTCACAGAGTCAGACAGCACCTTAATAAGGTGCTTCTCAAATTATGTGGGCTAAAGGTATTAAATATATGTGAGATAGAACTATGGAATTAGACTTTCAAAAAAACAAACAAAAACCAAAAATCTAAAAACCAAAAGCACAACAACACAAAACTGGCAGGCTTTCTTTTACTGCATTTGATCCTGGGCTAGACACTAGAAAACTATTTTCAGAGTATAAGGATACTCTGTCTCTTAATTAAACATATATAGCAGACCCTACAGCTCTACTTCTGTTTAAGAAATAAGAATTAGACCAAATCAGTTACGAAAAAAAAGAAGTCACTTACAATAAAAACCAAAGCAACTACCATCATAATTAAAAGATCTCTGATTCCATCTTTATAAAGGTGATCAAAACAAGGTGGAAATCCTATAGTTTGGGCTTACTGGGCTTACTGGGTTCCTAAACCTCATTACTTTTTATTCTTTCTCTCCTCATAACTGGCTTTGGATTCACCACTGATGTCCAAATGATAACCATGGTGTACCCATAGTCACTGTCAGTGGTATGTCCTGTGGTTACTACTTTCTGACATGTGCATGGCTGCACAGGATCGAAATTAGGGACCTGCCTAAACCTTAAAGTAGATGTAGCTTTCAGGCCCAAGCCAGTGGGGCCATCTTTATCAAAAGGAGAAAAATGAACTCCCACATGAAATGGAACACCATGTGTCAATTCCATCCCAAGTATATTTGGTATATATGTCAACCTAGGCTCTGTTTTTAACCCTTGGGGCGGACCTATAGTCAATAGCTCATCCCATTTTATATCATATATCAGGTAATCTGAAAGCCTTTCTTTTCCAGGGTTCTTCAGTGTCCGAATTGGACAATAGGTTGCCAATTAAACTGTTAATTGTGTCATTTAATATTTGCCTTGTAGAGCAGATATAAATATAGATTTATATCTCCATTATTTGAGTCAAAAAGTGATTCACTTTGTATTGTTTACTAGATCACTGGATATTAAACTGGCTATGCATTAGAATCATCAGGAATAAGTTTTTGAAAAATTAATTTCTGATTTATTCCCAATCACTACTTTCTATCAAGATTTTGATTCAGTAGGTTTTGGGAGATACCTAGATTTTTTTTTTTTTTTTACACTAATTCCGATGTGCAGCTAAGTTTGAAAATAGCTGTAATCAATCAAATTAAGAAATTAACTAGATGGTTCTGTGCATGCATCAGAATCAGCATTTTCAAAAGCACAGATTGCTGGGTTTCTGATTTTGGTACAGTCCACAGAGAGACCTGAGAATTTGCATTTCTAACATGTGTCCAAGCGATAGTAGTGCTACTGGTCTTTGAGAATCAATGAATCAGAGAATAAAAAGAAGAATGGTGCTAAGTCTCAAGAAAGAAGCCGGAAGATGCATGTCTCCAGATGGACGGCTGGAGCCCTTTTCTGTCTGTGGCTGGACGTGTTATCTAGACTGGAATCTTAGATGTTTCCATCTGAGAATTCTAGGACTTTGAGGCTTTCTTTTCCTAGCAGAAAGCTAGGAAAGCTTATTTCCATAAGCTTCCTGGTACAATTCCGTAACGCTGTCCTCAATGAGTTGGGTTGAAGATAATCACAATAGGAATTTTCTTCGCTTATCTATTTTCTTTCGTCTGGGGAGCATGTACATATACACATATTTGCCGACTATGAAAAACAAAGCTTAGGAAAGACTGAGATGATACCTGTAGAAAGACCATTTTAGCAGAAATTGCCTGGCAGCTTTAGGAAAACTGGGTCTGCCTTCATAGGGCTTCAGTGCTTGCATCATCACATTGTCAAGCCATGCAGCCCACTGCTCCAGGGTGCTCTGCTGCTGAAGAGTCATCTTGAAGTCTGTTTCTAGTCTCTGAACCATGTTGTCATCACACTGGCACACCCAGGAAGCCTGCTCCTGGGACAGTACACGGAAAGCAAAAGAAAAGTTCAATTCAGCATCTTTTCATTGAATGTCACCACACAAACTATATGCATGAATAGGAAATTATAATGAAAGCTTCAAACAATTTAAATGAATTAAAAAAAATGAAAATGAACAACTACTTGTCAGTTATTAAGGAAACTGCTATCACCTTTGTGCATGAAAAAATGATGTGACATAAAAGCACGACTCAGTTTTGCTACATTAGCTAGATTGTGTGAAAGACTAAACACATGATTACTTAAGAAATATAGAAGCCTGAATCTATGGTATGTAGGGTCTTTCATTCTATTCAGTTTTTATACTGCTTTCAAAAGTTCTATCTTTCCCCTCACCCCCAATCAGAGAAACTTTAAAGCCAATTCATTTGAGAAGATTTAGGCTAATTCAGATGGATAAATAGATTTAATTGGCCAAAAGTGGCCCCTTAGGACTCAAATTGAAACAAACTCTGAATAGTACTAGGTAGAAACATATGCTGTATGACTTTTATAGACTCAGAACTAGAATCTCAAGGGCTGTCAAAGTGAGGCTATGAATACAAATTAATTCACAGAACTCAAAACAACAATAACAACAACAAAAATACTTTTGAGAAAATGTAGACACGCTACCGGCCAAGATATTTTATTATTACAGTTTCCTTCTGGTTCTGATTGGGAAGTTTCATGTTTGGTAATAGCAATGAAAATAGGAACTTCCAAGGCTACTTTTTAGTGGCTGCCATAAGTTTTATAATGTTTCCAGTGCTATGTTGTTTTTTTAAGATTAAAGAAAAAAACCTATACTCTCAAGGTTAGAATTATTTGGTAATATAGTATTTGACTAAGAGTCAGAAAACATGGATTTTAATATAGGGCCTGAATCAACTAAACTGACCTCAAGCAATTCATTTAATTTAAGTGGGCTTCATTTTCCCTAAGCATAAAATTAGAGAAATAAAATGTGACAATAATTTTTATGCTGGGTTCATTGTGCCCAGACAATATTTTCAAGATAGGTTCCTGTGTGTACGCGTGTGTGTGTGTACGCATGCGTGCATGTGTGTGTGTGTGGGGGTGTCTGTGAAAGTCCTAATTCCATACCCAAAACATAGTAAATATGTGTATATTTTTCTGTAAAGAGTGTCTATATCTTTCATTCCATCTGTTCTCAGAGGATGAGTTCATTCAAATCAACAATTTCAACTGAATAAATACCTAATCTCCATCTTCTGGTTCCAGCATCTCTCCTGATTCTACAAACTTTACCTATTCAAGAGCTATTTCAGTAAATTATATAAATGTCTAAGCACTACACTGTACACCTGAAACTAATAAAGAGTGAGAGAGGGAGAGAGAAAGAAAGAGGAGAGGGAGAGGGAGAAGGAAAGGGAGGTACTTCAAAACGCACACTCTATTCACTTTATTTCTCCAGGGAAATCTATAATTTCTTCTATATTACCAGATGATGATATCATCTACTATCCTTCTTTCTCTTATCTAATTAATCATAAATAGCTTCTGATTTTACTTCATAAATACCACTTTTAAATATTTTAAGTACATTTAAATGTGACTACAGAAAAATTGAAAATACAAATAATCAAAAAAGAAACAAAATATTAAGAATATCTAAATGCTAAAATTAAGAGATAACTACAACATGCTAATTTATAGACATTTTTATATGCACATTTCATATAAATTGTTTGACTTCTTTCACTTAGCATAATGTTTTTAAGTTCATTCACTCTGTAGCATGTATCTAAACTTCATTTTGTCTTATTGACCAAAATTCCATTGTGTGGATATACTACATTTTGTTTATGCATTCATCAATTAATGGACGTCTGGGTTGTTTCCACTTTTATGTAGCTAATGTGAATAACACTGCTATGAACATCCATGGACAAGTTTTTATGTGGACATATTTTAATATCTTTTGGGTTATATCTAGGAATGAAATTGGTAAATAATATAGTAACTCTATGTTTAACCTTTTGAGGAACTGTCAAACTGTTTTCCAAAGTGGCTGCAGCATTTTACATTCCAATCAGTGTATGAGAGTTCTAGTTTCTCCACATCCTCACCAACACTTGCTACGATCTGTCTTTTTGATTATACTCATTTTAGTGTGTGTGAAGTAGTATCTTACTATGGTTTTGATTTTCATTTCTCTGATAGATAATTATGTTGAATATCTTTCAGGTACTTATTGGCCATTTGTATATCTTTTTTAGAGAAACACCTATTCAGATCTTTGCCCATTTTTTAATTGTTTTATTTTTGGGTTATAATAGCTCTTTTTTTGTGATTCTAGTACAATTTTAAAAATCAGATATAGAATTTGCAAATAAAGTCTCAACTCTGGTTGCCATTTAGCTTTCTTGATGGCCTCTTTTGAAGCACAAAAGTTTTTAACTTTGTGTTCAGTTTATGTATTTTTCTCTTATTGTTTGTACTTTCAGTGAGCAACGACACTTTATACAGTAACAACTACTTTTATTACTTTAGTATTTGACGTGAAATATTAGTTGGGATCCCATAATAATATTCCTAAATTAGCTATTTTTTTAAGTGTAATTTAAAGTACAAGTGAGTAGTCTGATCACAAGGTTAAAATATATATTTTTCATTTGGATAATCAAAATAACCAAACATCGCACCTAATTCTTTTCAAATGAACAAACACCAGAAACCAATAGCAAACTCTGAAATAGAGTCATTCTTAGTTCTTTCACAGTGCGGCACTATTAAGAACAAATGTCCCTTGCATGTTACAGTGCTAGGGGCTTTATGTATTATGAAATATGTAAACAATAATCTAAGATAAGTTTTATAAAGTAGGGATTTTTTTTTAGTAAAGCCCAAACAAAGCAGTTCAGTAACTTGCTCAAGCTCCCACAGCTAGGAGACTGAAGAATTTAATCTCCTGCCTAACTTCAATGACTGTGATCATCTTTACTCCACTAACTATTCAGCAAACCCTGGTGACATATGTTGCCGTCTAGTGCTCTAAATCTTGGCAGACTTTAACCACAAAACAGAGGAGCAGTAAAGTCACAGCTGAGTAAAATCCTCCTCTTTTGGGACAGTGTGACTATCTATTCCGCCTGTGTATTGATGTAACTATGAAAAGAAATATGAGGATCCTAAGTAAGAAGTAAAATTGGGTGTCTTTTCTTAAAAGACACATTTTGTCAGAAAACAGAATACCTGGACATTGGCAAAGTCAACACGGTTGAGGTCATTGAGCATCTGGTTGATTTGAGAAGTGTTCTGAAGCACTGCACGAGCTGCCTGGGCCAGGTGATTGAGCGACGTATATCTTCGCAGAGTCTGGGCAAAGGCACTTACAGCGGCAACCTGTAAAGAAATCCAGTTCAACTGGGATTTTTTTTCACTCCAATAAAAGAGACCACTACAAATGTTCAAATCTTTATGTCCTTGCCAAATTTTAAATGTTTTCTTCTGATACGTATTTCAAATTCATTTGGCGAGAGAGCTTACCTATAAAGTATAACATTTAAATCCTTAAACCAAGTATTATTTTCCTCTTGAGTGGGTTGAGGTCAAGACTAAAACAAACTCCCACATTCTTTGACATCTGAGTGCAGCATTAATTAAACCAGTCTTACAAGTAACTACTCATCCATGGCAAAAAATGACTTTGTCTAGGGAAATATAAAAAGTGTTGATTTTCTTTTCTTTTCTGCTCTCTGTACTCTAAACTAGGCAAATAATTTTTTTTCTTTTTACTTGGAAAACTAAACCACGCAGCCTCACTTCCTAAAATGGATTAAAAATATACTTTTCAGAGCACTATCATTCAGACTCACTCTTATTACCTTTATTTTATAGAAACCTGGGTAATTTTAAGGTGAAACAAAGGAATTCATAATAGCCTTTATTAGCAAATACATAGCTAATAAACATCGGATACAAGCAACAATAACTACTCTTTTTCAGAATTTAAATTTCTGTAAAAGGACTAGCCAGGAAATTTCCATGTGCCTTTCAAAAATCTACTTCCTGCCCTTATCTCTTCTGCTCTGTGCCCAGGAAGACTGACCTGAATGTACTACATTAATCTCCTCACTTATACTCTGGCTTCCAGTTGGATTTGGCCAAGACAGGTCCTGGCAGGAGACTGAAGGATGGGAATAATGAGTGGTCAAGTATTTATCTCCCTATAACCTCTGCTCTCTCTCTGTTTTGGCAAAGACAACTTTCTTTTTTTAAGGCCACTGTATTGTGGCAAGAAGAGGATCTCTTAATGTCGTACTTTCACCTCTTTCCCCTTCAGAAACAGGAATTTTCAGAGCTTCCCTCTACTGCTTGTCCCAGCGTGCTTTACCCTTCTTTTTCTTAGCTCTGTTCACATCTTAGGAAATAGACCCTTATTAAACTCTCTTCAATTATTCTCCCATTTGGATATATCATATGTTTCCTGCTACAACCCTGAATGAATCAGGTTACAATTAAATATATCAAAGACAATGCCAAAAAAAAAAAAGTCTAGGTAAATATCTAAATCTCATGATCTCAAGGAAACTTGTTACAAGTACAATAGATCTAAGGAGCATTTTAACATATTTACAGGAAAGTATGATATGGTATTAAATCGCTATGGATATAGATGAAGCAATTAATTAGTTTGCTGACTGGTAGAGGGTATTCACAGGTCAATGGATGCTCTATCTTGATAGTGAGATGTTTTAGGACTATGTGGAACTTGGGAGAAAAGTTCACATGCTCTCAAAAAAGTCTTACATTTTTTCAATTTCTGTAGTTTATATTAATCAAGTACATACTATGTGCCAGGCACTGTGTTAAGTGCCTCATATATATTTCCTTGCTCAAGTCTCATAACCATCCTACTAGATACATATTATGACTTAAAGAGGTCAAGTAGCTTGCTCAAGGTCACACAGTAACTATATTACAGTGATGAGACATGAATTCAGGTATAACAATGGAAATCATAACAATGGCCAGTCATAATCTAATTATGCTGTTTCCTCTGTCAGGGTAGACTGTCTTCACTGACTGAATGTCTAGCTGAAAAAAGGCTACAGGTACATAAAAGGTACATCAGTGAGAAGGAATAACAGAAGGTGTCCTCCACCAAGGTAAATAAAATCAACTCTGGAGATCAGTGAGGTGGCCAACATTACAGCTGGATTGCTATCATATGGGATGGCGCTGGGAGGGGAGGTGCTTTCAGCTATTTGAAGTATTTTTATGAATCTGACTGACTGCAAATTGGAAAGCATTCCTCTGACCATCGTAATCAAATAGCACCTCCTTTTTTTGCCCACCCCAGTGTGGCACTCTAGAACAGCACTGTCATGGAGAACTTTCTACAATGGTGGAAATGCTCTACATATGTGCTGCCAAATATGGCACCTACCACCTGCATGGCGCTATGGCACACTTGAAATGCAGGTAGTGTGACTAAGGAACTAAATTTTAATTTAATTTAAATTAAAAAATTCAAATTTAAATAGCCACATGTGGCTACCCCTACTGTATTGACAGCATGGTTATAAAATACAAATATAAAAATCTTTGTTACATGGTTATAAAATACAAACATAAAAATCAGTTTTAAATGTTCTATACATTATATCAACATTTTACATAATGCTTTTTCATTGGACACATAAAGCAAAAATCTGAGGTGGAAAATCAATGAAATGTTTCTTTCTGTATGTTTTAGAGATAGAAAGTGTTGTTGCAAACTGTTAGTCAAAGCAGAAAGAACTGGGAGCTACTTATGTTCCCAAACAGACTTGTCAGCTACAAGAGCTTCAATCTATCAACTATGCCCCCAAGATAATGCATATTGTTGGAGATTAACAGTGGATACAGTAATTGACAAAAATCCATAAACGAAATTTTTGGTACCAAAGTTTAGACGGAATTAGTGCAATCTTGCCATGGGTATGCTCACAGATTAACCTCAAGTAACATGGTTAGTAGGGGACAAAATGGAGAACAGAATTCATATCTCTAGCTAAATAATCCACATTCCTGATATATACTAATCAATTATGAGATAACTGTTCACTTTAAGAAATGATTACTTGATTCACAAAATCATTCTCCCATGTTAAAAAAATCCTGAAAAAAAAAAAGAATATTAATTTACACGAATTTTTCACAACATAATGAGTACAGTTAGGGACTTAAAAAATCTAAAACTCCTTTACATAAAAACTATTTGAAAATTCTAGGCTATTCTTTTTAATATTTGAAATAAGCAATCTGAAATATATATATTAGAAAAGGACTTATAAATATACCACACTTAAAATGTTTCTCTGGTCTTTTTGAAAGGAGCATTAAGAAAAACATCCCTTGTACAGGTTCTTTGTTACATAGTTACAAAATACAAATATAAAAATCAGTTTTAAAAGATCTATATATTATATCAACATTTTACATAATGCCTTTTCTTTGGACACATAAAATTCACAGTTCAGAACAATTTCCTAAACACAAAAGAAAAAGCAAAGATATAAAAGCCTACCTTGGTTTGTATCATTCTCTGTGGAATATTGTTCATGGCATTGGAAAGCCAACCTTCAAGGCTTTTAGCAAAATTTCGAATGGCTTGGGTCAAGGCACCTAAATGTTAAAGAATAAAAGCAAAACGAAAAAGATACCAAAGAACATTAATCTTTATGCCAGACTAAGGGAAAACATACATACATGACATATGAAATAGCACAGAACTTATATTGTCCTCATTGATGAGACTTTATTTAGCATTATTCCTAACTCTAAAAGCATCCAAGGATTACATTTTGAGTCTTTTTTTTCTTCTAAAGCTATTTTGTTCTCAGATACTTATGATACTTTGTTGAGAAATGAAAATATTCAAACATTTTTGCTTATTGCAACATATACCAGTTGTGAATATACTTATGGAATTTTCTATCTTAGATAAAACACTTTTCATTAACATCTCTGTGCTTAAAGGCTATTTTCTTTATAAGTTCTTCATCTTGATTTTTCAAGCTCTTAGTCTAGTTTCCTTTTCTTAGTTAAAAAGAAGATAATGTAAAGCTTCCTCTCCTTCTCTAGGCATCCATTTACGCTAGAACACATCAATCAGAGTAGCTGCCACTCACTGTTGTTGAAAGTAAGGTAAAAATTAAAATTGCCTAACTTGAAAATTTTGGATAATTATTCTCCATTTCACTTGGCAGGCAGAGATAAAAGGTCAGTATAATAAAACTGCTGTCACAGAAACCAATATTCTTAAGATATTCCTAAAATAGTCCATTCCATATTCTTCACATATCTGTTAAAACCCGAAATAGGGATAGGTCCCATGAGAGTAGCTTTTTATGGTGGTCATAAAATTAGAGGCATCTCTGACTATTTTACAAGAAGGGATTGGTTTACTGGGATTGCTATATAATAGAAGACAGAATTCTTCTCTTGTTCAAGTAATTCAGTCAATAGCATTTTACTTCATCTGTGCTCAAGGCTCTATAATGTAGGGAGCAGTTTTAGACATTTAATAAATCTTTGTGGGTTCCCTATAATATGGGTAGGTATTACAATTGGTAGTCTCGTATAAGAAACAGAGAAGTTACATTTTTTTCCAAGGCTCCCAAGAATATTAATGTTAACGATAGGATTAAATTCTCTGGTTTTTCATTCTGTGCTGAAATGAGTCTTACATGCTTCTCTATTACTTTTGTTAAAGCAGGATTAGATATAATTTAGTTTACTCGAGTTACTTGCAAATGATATAAATGTTACTAATTCAATAATAAAAACAACTATTTTTTTAAATGATTTATTTAACTGGTCAAATGACAAAAGAGAAATTAAAATGGCTAAATTTTAATTAGGAAAAACACTCAAGAAGAGCAGACTCTTAACTATGATAATCATTTATTGGAAACATCAAGTTGGAAATTTCTTGAGAAGTAATCTTTTGAAATTTCCAAAGCTTTCCACTTTAGCCAAAAAAGAAAAAAAAAAAGAAAGAAAAATATTTTTCTGTTGTCTTATGTACTTAGAATCATGGAGGGCAGGCATGAATGGAAATGAAAAAGAGTGAAAAAAGATTAACAACGCTTTTTGAAACTCAGTAAATTTTTTTGCAAGATTCAATTTGGCTATCTGTATTTTGCATTTTCTCTAATATATAATAATCATTTAAGCCCAAAAAAACAAGAATTGGGAAAGGTTACTTTAAAATTTTTAATATGAATCTTGTTTTATCTAGACAAATTTGATGATAGGGATATTATAAAATAAAAATATATTTCTCGTATATCAAATGATTTTAAGTTTTTACTTTTCTGTCCTAAATATTTTGGGCCACCTTTAATCATACCTCATTAGACATTTAAGTATTACTAGTTGAGTTCTTATACAATTCTTTACACTTAACTTTTTGTTCATTTTCAGATAAGTGTATTTTGGAACATAGTAATTTCAAGCTGACTTTAAATTAGTGTGATATGCAGACTTTTTTTGTCTAAAAAAAGGAATCCCATCTGGACAGTAAATGGTAGAGTGAAGTACTAGTAGCCACAAAATTACAATTTTTAAAAATAAAATTATGCTTGCTCTCTCTACAGGGGTTCACACCAGATCAAATTGTGCACATTAACTCTGACAACTTTTCTCATGAATGGATGGTTTGAAATTTAAAATCTATTCTAAAGCTAACTTGTTCCAACCTGCTCATGATTAATATCAAAATGCATACAATCAGAAAGTAGCTATCTACACTGTAATTTAAGCTTTATTTTGTTGTAGAATGGGAATTAAATTTCCAAATTTAGTTGGCACATTAATGTATCTTATAATTTCAGAGAAACTATAAACTATACTTATGTGGAAATTCCTGAAGTTGCATTGTCTGCTGAATGTAGAAATAAACTACTTGACAGAATAAACTGGTCAAAATTTGCAAAAAACAAAGGTCAAATATACTGTGCATTTAAACTGTGGGGCTTAAAGTTAACTAAATTGATACATGATTTAAGTTAGGAAACTGTTCAACTTGTAAGTTAATCTTGTGATGCTAACATAGAAGCAAACGAGTTTAGAATTATTTCATGAATATTGATGTTGTTGATTTGCCTTAAAAAAGAAAATGCTTACTGACATCTCTTCTCAGATCTCAAGAGAGAAATTGTACATTGGTGGTAAGAGCCATAGGTTAATGAGCTACCTTATGCAATTAAACATCTCTAGAGATCATAATTCAGAGCAAAGGCAGCAAGACAAAAACAAGGAAAGTCAGATTCTAAAACATAAATCAGTAGAGAATTTACACACTGAAATTTTCCATGACAACATCACTTCCAATTATTTTTTTTAGTCGGGAAACTTGGTGTAGATAGAGTAGAAAACATTAGCAATTTTATAAAAAATGTGAGAAAATGGCAGCTGGATTTTTTTCAAAAATGAATTTCTATATAAATATGTGTGTATGTTCACTGATATTATATGTAAATATGTAAGCAAATATTTCAAGGAGGCGAGGAATATATGAAGTAACTCATATCTTCCACAGTTATCTATCATATTTAGAGAAAAGAAGGAATAAATATACAAACATTAGTATCTTCAGCTTTTGTTTTAATAAATCCCTATTTAAATATTGTCTGGAATAATTTAATACAAATCAACTGTGAACAGTGTACCTGAAATACATGGTTGCCAATTTCACAAGCTAAAAGACTGCTTTTATCTTAATAATGTCATGATAAAGTAGAAATTCTGTTCTATGTCTTTAAAGCTAAGGTCACTAGTACATGCTCATAAAGATGTAGGCATAAAATCATTCCAACTGCCTCTAACACAGTATCCATAGGAGCGTTTATATTGACAGCTGCAGAAAATAGCTTTGTTTGCTACAAGGTAGTTTAGAAAGCAACCATCACTTGAAAAAAAGGTAATCTAAGTTATCTATGTAATTCCTATTTGCTTCATGGTGGGAATACAATGCTTGTGTAGTTACATAGATTTTTCTCTCAAAATGCCAGTTAACCATTACTGTTAATGGAAACTGCATTTGTAGTTCTTAACAAGATGTAGGTGACAAAGTAAATGCTTTTATAAAGGAATTCAACTTCAGTGGAAACCAAGATAAATTCATTTCAAATCAAAAGCAACCATGAAAGAGGCTGGCCTAGCAATTAGATTTCAAAAATTTTTGGTTTTACAAAGGGAACTATGTCCTTGGGTTCAATAATTTTTACATGATTGACTGGTCTGGGAGTGTTCTTGCAATTAGTCATTGGGCTGTCACATCCATAGGTTAGCTTTTCTTTCAAAAAGAAAACTACTAAAGATTGAAAAACAGATATTTTTCCCCTCTTACTACAGTTCTGCTCTAGGCTGTTTTCAGGCAATACTCTGTGTTGCTTGTTTTCTATTTGGCAAATCTAAATGAGATTAGAATCACTCTAGATTGCAAGGTCACTACCCCAAACTTTCTGGGTGGAATGTATGAGAACAAAAGCATCCGTACTTGTCTGCATTTAACTTACTAGGAATAGGTCTAAGGACGTCGGGGATGAGAATCTCCACCAAAGCCTGGTACATCCCATGGTCACAGTTACACATCCATTTCAGGATAGACTCATGTTTGCACAGAGTTATCAGCTTTGCTTTCGGAAGTCGACTTTCTATTTCACTCAGATTGCTGGTGTGAATAAATGTAGCAAATGAATAGATGGCAAATGAGGATAAAAAAGAAAATGGACTTTAAAAATAGTTTTAGTTTATCAAATACTACTGAGGTTAGAACTATACCACCATTGTACAGGTGCCATATGACTGGATATATATAACACTCCCCCAGAGCTGCCTATGCACGTCAATACTTTCTCATGGTATAAAAGGCAGATATGATGCTAACTCCATGAGGATGAAATAACTCTACTGCAGTCCCCCAAATCAATAAAATGGGAGCTATAATACACACGCTGAACCCTCAAGAGAGCAGTTTGTGGTTTATTTCAATCTATTCATTTAATGTTATCAGGTAAGGTTCACAACTGGTATACATATTTCTAAGTTATTAGCTGTGACATCTACTCAGCCATGAAAATGGATTGGAAAAGCATATTGATTCTGACCTTGATTCAGTAATGGTAGTGCCGTCAGCTGGAGTAGAGGGAGAATAGCGCCAGAATGTTTGCCACAATTTTTCTATCAGGCTAAACTGAAGATTCACAACAACGTCCAATATTGCCTAAAAAACAAAAAGGTTACCGGTATTACCATATAATACTTCTTATGGGGATGTGTGAGGCACACATAATGTAACGGGACTTAAATGGTAAAGATATCTTTGGGTTCATAAGTTAACATGGTGAAACTAGACTAAATTGTGCCAGTGGAAGTGAGGAAACAAAGGAGATTAGCTAGGGGAGAAAAAAAAAAAAAAGCAATTCTTGAAGGATTAGGCAAGTAACTTGCATTCCTCTCATAATGGCCTCATCTCCCATCCTCACTTTCACCTCTCTTTTTCCCCAGTGTCATGCTTGCTTCCCTTCCTCTCCATTTTCTTCTCTTACTCCTTAAAGACCCATTGTTTCCTTCTGCCTCCAGAGTTGCTGCCACTCTTCCTAGTCTCAGACTAGAAAGGGCACAGGACATAGATTCAATTCACATCACTCCTCACTAGGCTAGGTGTGTCCACTGGCCATCGAAGAGGCCAGAACTGGGTGAAGGATGTGGAGGTGCTTGTGTGTGGCAGACAGGGTTAAGGCTGACCATGGATTGCAGAGTGTTCCCAGCCAAGCTGAAGCTGGGGCAGAAAAAGAGCACAGTAAGCACCTGTCTTTGCTCACACTAAGCCTCCCATTAAATCCTACCTCTGCGCAGTACCTTTCGAGAACAGCTTTAAGACTATCGCTTTTCTAACTTTGGGGGTGGGGTTTCACCTCCCCCTTCTCCTTAATTTTATCCCCGAGAATTATTTTCCAGTTGCATCAAAGGCTTTTTTTTTCTTGATGACGCTAAAATCTGCCACTTTCATTAACTTTTGATGATCACATTTAGTTTCACTCTTCCACTGCAATTAGTTTGTAAATTTACCTTCAGATAAAAGCAGTTACTAAACCAACCAAAGAATAACTTGTTTGTGCAAGGAACATGTGATTCTATGATTATTTCGAGCATAAAAGATGGAAGCTGTCAGAATAATTGTTTGATGTCCTCAGCACTGAGAGCGAGGACAGGTAAACTAGCCCAGTTAAAATCTACAAAATTCACAGAAACTAAGAGACAACAGGAAGCAATTGAGAGAGTCAATCTGAGTATTTTAGGCAAAAAGAGGAATCTGTAATGTCATAGTTCTAGTTTATGCTACCTGCATAGACTGGTCTTATGTATGATACAGAGACTAACTGCTGTTCTACACAAAAACAATCTGAGACAACTTCAAATATTAAGCAAAATCTGTTTGGAGCATGTTCTGGAAACTGGTAGGAAATGTTACAAGTAGTTGGATAATGAAAATGGAGAGAAGGGGTCAAATTAATTAACATACTCCTCACCCTTCTATATCAGCAACTATTAAAATGCAAGTGTAAACCCTGAGATTAAAGGGCATATAGATAGATGTCCCTTTCCCCAGGCCAAAACCAAAAGCTCCACAAGAGGCAAATTCTTACAGCTGTTTTCTTAACTGTAGCTTAGGAACATTCCAAAAGATATCTCTTAATGAAGAAACTATTAATATCTTATAGAATATCTTACATGTCTCTATCTATAAGACTGCTGTAAGAACACTATGTGTAGTGTAAAAAATATATATATTACTGTTGTAGCAACATGTGCAGAAAATTACACTTCTACCTAAAACTAGTGATACTTACAAAATAACTTTGATAAATGAATTGTGAGAATTTCAAATAACAGGCAAAATAGGTATAGCAATATTTCTTTAAAATACATACTGTAGGAAATATGATAAAAATAAAGAATTCAATATATCTTAAATTCAGTATCTCTTCAAATTAAATAATCTCTGATTCTTCTGAAAAGGACATGCACATCAGCCTCTTGAGGCAGTTTTTCAAATGACTCAAACATTTTATCATTTGTCCATCCACCCACTTTCAAATATGTTCATACTAAAATATATAGGCAAATATATTTTAAAATAATCCATATTCTACTGGCTTAGAGCAAATGACTATTTATAGGACTGGATATGAGATTCAGGTAGCTGTACTTCAAAAGTTTGTAAGTTTGACAGGGAAAAATATTAGAATTCTTCATTTTTTATATTTGCTGCTATGTCCCATGAAAGATGGCATAAATGCTGTAAACTATGAAATAAATGGGGATCAATCTGTGGACTGTCATGTCCCACATAAATTATCATTTACATCCCTATCTCTTCATATGGAGTATGCCTGAAAATTGGTACGTTAATGAAAATTCTGTAATCCAAAGAATATTTTCATCTTATTGGGGGAATTTTTAACTTAGGATACTCTTACTGTACAGTCTTTAGTATTGTGAATAACCAAGCTTCAACTTATATTTTGAATAAATATGAGAAAATTTAAAAAATCCAAACTATATTTTTGTAGGCTGCTTTGCTTAAGGCAAGGTTCACCTGAACACAAGAGAAATAAGAAATTGCTTAGAGAATCTTTCTAGAAATCTTTATTAAATACACATGATATTCATGTAGAAAGAAACTTTTTCTAGATATTTAATTATCGTCCAGAAATTCTCTAATATTGAGAAAAGCACAGTCATCAAAGAGAAATGACAATTAAGTGTCTTTCATCATTCCAAGAAATGTTGGGAACAGACTGGCAGGATATGTTAAAGAACACTTTTGGCACATGGTTTGTTACTAAAGACAGAGCTTGTCCTTGGTTGTTAATAATCTAGCACCCTTGACAAGCACTCTGATTTTTTCAAGCAGTTCTTATTTCTGGAGTGGGAAAAAAATCCGTGAATGCTATGAGCTGAGACTTCTCACTGTATACTGCATTGTCAGCAATTAGGAGGACTGCGTGTGAAACCCAAAGGATTATCTTTTACTCTCAAGTAGATCACAAATAGCTCTGGAATAAAGCTACTTAAATTCTAAACAGACTCTTCTTTCAAAAGGAAAGGCACTTAGGAAAACTCTTACTGCAACAACATTATCCCCCTGGTACTAGGGGAGGTGCAAGTACATTAAAATGCTGGCTTGGAGAGAGTTCACCTCCTGGAGACCATGTAGCCAATTGTAGGATATTCAGAAAGGGAGTAGGAGTAGGGATGGACAACACTAGGAGAAAACTTAATTAACCACAAAAACAAAACAAACAAAACTGGGGTCTCAGTGATCTATGGAAGGAACACCTCAAGTGCTTTATTAAACATTTCTAGAAAATATTTTTGATAGAAATACACACTTAGGGTATAAAATTCA